TTGACAGATATTATTGATAAAATGTTTCAAAGAATGCATCCTGACTCTGTCTCTGAGGATGAGGAAACTCAGAAGTGGCGTGGGTATCACCTCTTTTTACATTTTTACTTTATACTCTTTAATTTTGTTGGAATCAAGGAAGGAGAGGAATTGTCTATTTTGTTTTGTCTAATGAAATTGAATGAACATTTGCAATGTAACCCATTTTCATATATTGTAATGAGAACTTGTAATGTAAGTATTACATTGTATTACACGTGATAATGGAATGTAACGACTCATTCCATTCCATTGCTTATTCCATTCCATTCCTCTCATCAATTCATTTAATCCTTAAAATGACTAAAACTTTTTATTGTAGGTGGGTGGACAATCACTTGGTGCATGTATTATCACCAAATATATACAGAAGTCCCTCTGAAGCTCTTGAATCATTTGATTACATCACTAGCCATGGTAATATTTTGGATCTTTATAAAATATATTGACAAGCTTTTAGATTCTTTTATTTTATTTAGATTTAGATTAAATTACAGAACTGGTCCCTGTGGTATAGTAGAGATTTCAACTTTGATCTAGCCTTACATTTCGTTACATGGGCAATCCTCATGGTTTCATTTTGTTGCATGTTTGGTCCTTATCACTAACTTTGTTAAAAACACAGTGTTAAATGCTTGTAAAAAGACAATTTTACCCTTCTTTTGTCTTTTTTAGAAAAAAATTGTTGAATGAATCTCGTAATTCTTATATGATGGTTTTAGAACCTCAATATATAGAATAGAAACAGACACAATATATAGAACCTCAAATTGATATAATAACAAATAATATTATAAATTATTTTAATATTTCAGGTAATTTCAGCTTTACTGAAAGGCTAGTAGCAAAGTATGCTGGAGCTGCAGCTATGTATTTTGTATCAAAAAAACTCAAGAAAAGACATAATATATCTGATGAACGTAAAGCTTTGTATGAAGCTTCAGAAACATGGGTGGATGCTTTGAATGGAAGACAATATCTTGGTATGTACAAATTCCTCTAATTTTTACATTTTGTTTTTTTATAGAGTAAATTACACGAATGGTCCCTATGGTTTGGGATAATTTGCACATTTGGTCCCTAACTTATTTTTTTAACTTGGAAAGTCCCTACTGTTTGTTTTTGTTACGCGATTGGTCCCTGTATTACCTAAAAAGAATATTATTTAAATAGGGAAAAATGGTGAGGTAGGTAAGGTAAGGTAAGGTGAGGGGGGGGGGTGTGTTTATTTAAATAAATTAAAAAATCAAGGGCAAAATAGTTTGTTTAAGTAAGACAGGGACCAAGTGCGTAACAAAAACAAACAGTAGGGACCTTCCGAGTTAAAAAAATAAATTAGGGACCAAACGTGAAAACTACCCTAAACCATAGGGACCATTCGTGTAATTTACCCAATTTTATATTATCTCGCTGAAAAAAAATATGAAAGTATGTTGATTTATAAATTTACATATATTTTTGATACTATGCAGGAGGTTTAGAACCAAATTTGGGTGATCTTGCTGTATTTGGTGTTTTGAGACCAATTCGCTACCTAAAATCGGGGAAAGATATGGTGGAGAATACACGTATTGGGGAATGGTTTACTAGAATGGAGAATGAAATGAAGCCTCATCGTGACACAAGTTTTCAAGAAGCATAAATCGCTTTATATCTTTTAACTTGTTTTTTAGTATTTTATAAATGAGAAAAATAAAGGTAACAGTTTTGAGGATGATGGGATATTAATAATGGTTATATTTGTATTGCTAAATGAGTGTATTGGGACAAGTTTCATGTTAATGGTTCTATGGATTTACATACTGCTTGCCTTGTTAAGAATATGTTTATTAATAACTTTGACTAAAACTTTTTCTATAGAAAACTCTTCCGGGTTATGTGGATGATTGTTATTCTCATCTTGTTTGTTACTAATTGTTTTTTTCCGTAGTTTAGTACCTTCAAATTTGGAGTAACTTGTAAAATGGTATCGTGGTTCCTTTTACAGGTAAACAAGAGGACTTGCAACATCATACGTGTTTGGCAAAGCACATTCTCCTCTTCGAAGTGTGTGCATCTATTTATCTTTATTTTTCTCATGAAAAAACCTTTTAATATAATCGGTGATAACATCTATTTTAGACATTTCCGGCGTAATCTTATTACTTTATGCTATGTTTTTATATTAGGTGTTTATAAAGTTTTAAATTATTATTTTACAAATATAATATGTTGCTAGAGCAAAAAGAAAACAAAAACGTTGAAAAACGGAGCTGGATCAGAAAAATTGAAAAACGAGCTAATATTACATGAGAAACGTTGCACTTCACTAAAGCGCACCTCGCCCTCTTGAAAAGGGAAATTTATCTGCGACTTGTTTACGTGTTTGTGTACGATGTGGATTCTCAATTTTCACGCCACGACAAAGTCATTATCGTGTCGCGGTGCCGTTGAATTCTATAAATTGATGCGAAAATTCTTCACAATTATATATCTTACAACCCACTTCACCTTATGTGAGATGATACCTCCAAATCGCCGTTTTGAGGGTTTAGAAGACGATTGGAGGGCCATTAAACTGATATGGAGCGAATATCTGACAGATTTGAGAGCTGATTCATGACGAAAATCATTCGATTTGCTAGTCTGGCCATGATTAGCATTCCGATTGTTTTTCTACTGTTTTTACTTTATGATCTACGGCTCTAAACCCTTTTGCTTTGTGTCTAAATTAGATGAATCATTGAGATTATGTGTGACATCCTCAATTTTTACGGCCAAATAAAATTTTTTATGCTTATTTAAAACAAAGTATCCTTTTTGTAAAATATAATAGTGTGGGTTTTTCCCAAAACATTTTCTTTAAATATAAATCAAAGTCAAAATAATTTTAAGAAACTTTTAATATTAAAAACTTTAGATGTCAACGCTAATACAAAAACATATATATAAACTAGTTATTACAAGCCTTATAACTGCTTATTATACTAATGGTCTTAAACTCTTAAAATCTCTCAACAAATATCATTATGTTTGTATCTTTGTACCACTACTTGTGATATAAAGAAACTGAGTGGGTCGAGTTTGGGAGTTTGGTGAGCACATATTGGTTTTCAACGCACAATGATATCATTAAAATCTTATATATATATATATATATATATATATATATATATATATATATATATATATATATATATATATCACACCAAACAATTAACCCGATTACTCATTCTCGTTATTCTCACTCGCTGGTCCTAAAATTATAATCTCAATGGATCTATTCTAAAGGATCAATATAAGCAATGAGTAGACAATACCGCTTTGGGGGTTCCGTAGCAATATATGTCAATAAGGCAACCATAAGGGGGATAGAGTACTCGAATGAACACACAGTTCATACTCCCAGATAGTATGATTCATTAACAACTACAGATTACGAGTGTGCTAGTGTTCCATTGGACTGTCTAAAATAGTCTGTGGTCGTCATCTATACTATATTAGATGACTAGTCTCTGTAGTACAATAGTACAAGTTGGTCATGACCTCTCATCTTTATTTTTTTGGACTTTATGAAAAAATTTCCAAAATAATAAGACATTTCTATATAAAACTCTATCCTTTTTAAGAACATATAAAACTTGGTTTTTTAAAATTGTATTTGGTTTTTTAGCCAAAATAACTTCAAAAATAAAATTACAAGCCAAACATTTTTAAACTTGATTTTTTCAATGTAAAATAACTTCAAAAATAAAAGTTAAATTGCTTTTTGGCTTTTTATCTAAAAACACTTTTAATTTAAAAAGAAGGGATATATACACTAAAGTCCCAATATTTTCATCGATTTGACAAGAAAATCCTGAACTTTATTTTTTTGACAGTAAAGTCCAAATTACCGGCAGTTTTTGACATTTTTACCCTTTTTTTCCGGTTAGCCGGTAATTAGGACTTTTTTTGTCAAAAAAACAAAGTTTAGGACTTTCTTGTCAAATCGTTAATTAGGACTTTACTGTCAAAAAAATTAAATTTAGGACATTCTTGTCAAATCGTTGAAAATATTGGGACTTTAGTGTATTTTTGTAACCCAAGAACTTTTAATTGTGACTTTTGTTGCAACACCACTGTTTTTCTTACCATCATCATCTTTATCCTGACACAATCACGACCAGGAGAAACATATGCAAAAGAGAGAGCGAGAAAGGGTGAAAAGACTTGTAAAACTTTCTTCTTGCTTCGCCGCCAAATCTTGAACTAAAAAGTGGGAACAGATTATACAAACACAAACAACACGTGCCTAATTAAAAAGATGTGAATGTGGAGACGGGAAAGAAGGGCAATTTCGTTTTTTTCGGTTTCTTATTTCTCCATTTTTGGGACTGCAAAATGTCAACACAACCTGGTTCTTTCTTTCTTTCTTTCTTGATTATCTCCATTTTTTTCAATATCGGTTTGCTGAGATTAAAAAAAGGATTTAACAAGAAGCAAACGTTAAAGATTTCAATAGGATCTAGCTGACGAGAGAAAGTTTCAATAACTCTCATGCTTAAAGAGTGTCATACCATTAAATTTCTAACCAAAAAAAGGGATATATACACTAAAGTCTCAATATTTTCAACGATTTGACAAGAAAGTCCTAAACTTTATTTTTTTGACAGTAAAGTCCTAATTAACGATTTGACAAGAAAGTCCTCAACTTTATTTTTTTTGACAATTAACGATTTGACAAGAAAGTCCTCAACTTTATTTTTTTGACAAAAAAGTCCTAATTACTGGCTAACCGGAAAAAAAAGGGTAAAAGTGTCTAAAATTACCGGTAATTTAGAGTTTATTGTCAAAAAAATAAAATTTAGGATTTTCTTGTCAAATCAATAAAAATATTTTACTTTAATACTTCTTAAAAAGAAATCCGAAACAACCCCCTCTTCTGACAAGAAATAAAAATATTGGACTTTAATACGTCTTAAAAAGAAATCCGAAACAACCCCCTCTTCTTCGATCATCAATCAATCAATCGCCAACCACCGGCAACCACAATGCAACAAGGCGATCACACCCCCACCACTCCGTATCATCGCAATTACCCTCAAAACCCTAAACCTAATCCCATCACCACCGATCACCACCATCCTCCGGTAACTTACGCCTCCGCCAACACCACTACTTACCATCCTCCAACCTCCGAATACTATCCTGCTTACCCTCAACAGAATCCCGATCCTCTCTCTCCTACTGACCCTTCTTACGATCCTCCCCCTCCAAACCCTAATCCACAACCCTCAATTTTCCCCAAAGTTGAAGCATCGCATACTCCCTATCGATCTCAACAGCCTTATAATCCACCTTATGATCATCATCAGACGCATTCCACTTACCCATCTCCACCCGCGTCTTCGATTCCTCAAAATCGTATCCCTTTGAACCACAGTTCAAGCGTTCAGTACTCATCGTCTCTGTATAATAATGCACCTTCGGTTCCTAGTCAGGTCCAGGGTCCCGTATATGAGAGTCCATATGAGACAGGTTATGATGGTAATTACGGTAGGAGCTCATCGGATCTAAGGGTCGGGGGTGGGAGTGCTGATTATCATGGGAAGCGACCGGATGTGGGGATGTCTAGGTTTGAATCAAGCGGTGGGTATGGTGAAGGTGTTAATGATATACCAAAGGCTGATACAAGGGAAGGTGTTAAGGGTGGGGTAAAGAAGTTCAGGGTGAAGTTGTTGGCTGAAAGTGGCAACCAGATCACCATGGATGTTCTTTGCCAGGTATGGTGAAACCACTTTTTTTACTTTTTGGCTGATTAATCTTTCTGCTGGTTAGTATGTATGTTTGTCTATGATGTTTTTTCTTAGAGAAATTCTATCCATCATGCATTATACTTTGTCATTGTTAGTCCTCATCTGCATTTAATATGTTTATCTGCCTTCTGGTGATGATTGATTACGATTTGATCTACATTCTGGCATGCAGTTTTCATAATCATTAAATTTTGTTCCTTTAGAGTTCCAGAGTTCACTTATTTTTGTCAGACTAATTGTAAAGACAGTTTGCACATAAAAGAAAGGAACCCTGTTAAATTCTTATTTTAAGAAACATACTCTTAAACTCAACTCAACATTTATGTGCATACATGATAAGTTTATAATCAAATGCCAGACCTTGTCACTTCATATAGGAATTGACTTATTAATTTGTATTATACTTTTATAATCACATCAATTACATCATGTAATATCCCTCAATTTTGGTCCAAACTCCAATGGTTGCGTCCTAATTAACATTATAAAGTGAATTGTAGTGTGATATATGGTATGTTACAATGATGACTCGATTGAAATTAACAAAATATTTTGTTATTAAACTTCATCTTTGACTTTATATGGATCATTGGTAGTGCAAATATACACAAACATTTCATGTGAAATAAAAATTTAATATAATTTTGAACTCGATTAACATTGGGAATATGATTAACTATGTGGTATTGATTTCATGTGATGTCATAATAGGCATTGATTCCTGTTGTAAGTTGTAACTTGCAGTTGTATTAATTGTGTTTCTGGATTATGTTATAACATTTTTTTAGTCTTGTATTTGATATAATGCACCTTATTTCCTCATCTATTTCATGGTGAATCTAAATCCCTTGTTTCTTTTCTCAGATTGGATCGGATGATATCCAAATTCTTGATCCATCTACCAATCGGACTTTGAGAATATATTCTCTTGATACAGTAACAAGATGTGAAGTATGTTCTTTCATCATCCTTTTCCTTTATGTCTAAATGCAAGAAATAACAACATACTTTTATTTATTTATCATTACCTCATCCTCTTTTTTTCTTTTTATTACACATTATGCTTTTGATTTTTATCCTAGTAAGGCATTGTATTTTGAAAATCTACCTTACTGAAGCATTGTACTTTCAATGTTTTTCTTATTAGGACATTATGATTTGAAAAATCTACCCAATTATTGCAGTGAAAATTGTTATGTATTTGGTTAACAAGACTATAATGGGTAGATCTTTTAAAGCATACCGATGTAATAAGAAGAAATAAAAGTAGAATACTATAAAAAAACACATCAATTAAAGTACGTTACTATTTCTTCTATTTAACCCTTTTATTTATTTGTTACAATATACCTTTTTTCTTTATGTATTTTGTAGGTGTATGACTCATCTACCTTTGCATTTTGGTCGAAGAGTTCTTTAGACATTGAGCCAAGGCGTATAAGGCTCCAATCCAATAGTTACATTACAAACACATTATTGGACACTCTTACAACAACAACCACAAGAACCACTCAAGCAACCACTCAGGTTAGATATTCAATATTGTAGATTAAAAAAATCATTTTTTTTTAAAAATTATCTTTAACTTTTTTTCATGAAACCCTTCTTATGTGAGAAATATAAATGTTTCTTAAAGAAACAAAAAGGGTAGTTAGTAATTAAAGGATTAAATACCGAAAATACTAAATTAAACCTTGCTATATTGTAGATGACAAACTCAAATGTTTCCACACACCAAAAAACTCTATCCCTCCGTTCCATCCTAGACAAAGAAAAACTAAGCGGTCTTAATTTCCTCGATTGGTTTAGAAATATGAGAATTGTTCTCAGAAGCGAAAAGAAAGATTATATCCTTGACGGACCAATCCCAGAAGAACCACCAACCAATGCTTCTAAGGCCATAAAAGATACCTGGGCGAAACATAACGATGATTCGAATGAGGTGGCTTGCATCATGCTTGCATGTATGGTACCTGAACTTCAGAAAACATTTGAGTTTCATACAGCGTTCGATATGATCGAACAATTGAAACTGATGTTTCAAGTTCAAGCTAAGCAGGAGCGTTTTGCAACCATGAATGCATTCATTGGTTGCAAAATGACTGAAGGTTCTTCTGTGAGTGCACATGTTTTCAAAATGAAAGCTTACGTTGAGCAGCTTTCTCACCTTGGATTCTCTATCCGTGATGAGCTTGCAATTGATGTGATCCTTGGCTCATTGCCTAAATTGTTTAGTCAGTTCGTGTTGAATTACAACAAGAACAACCGGGAGAAATCTATCTCTGAATTGCATTCGATGCTGAAAACTGCTGAGGCGAACATTAAGAAATCAAGACCTCAAGTTTTGATGGTCCGTGAAGGAAAAATCACCAAGAATGTTAAAATCGGTAATGTGTCCGGAAAGGGAAAAGCCTTTGAGAAAGGCAAAGAGAAGTTCAAGGTTAAAGGCAAGGCGCCTGCCTCTAAACCTATAGCAAAACCAAAGCCTCATGCAGACGCTGACTGTTTTCACTGCAATCAAAAGGGACATTGGAAACGCAATTGTCCCCTTTACCTAGAGGAAATTAAGAAGAACAAGGCCAACACGATTGGTACCTCAGGGATTAAGGAAGAGAGTTGAGATCTGACGATTTGGAGTTGCATGTACAAATTAGTAAATGGTGCTAGAGTAGTAGTTAATGCCATAGGCCAATATCATCTCCTACTACTAAATGACATGCATCTTATTTTGAACAATTGTTATTTAGCTAATCTAACTAGAAACATTATCTCAGCTTTCTGATTGTATGTTTCCGTATTTAATTTGATTTTGGTTATGGAAATTGATGTGTAATTTATATGCTTGCTAGGTTACAAACTTGTATACATGGCTGACCAATTAAAATAACTTGGATAATAAGAAATAATTATTATTCATTCATAAAATTGCAAAAATGTTTTTGTACATAACATCTCAAATGATATTAAAATGTACAAGAAAAAAAAGCTTTTTAATTCATGATTAATGAGAACCTTATGGTGTATAATAAAAGATTAAAATTTGATAGACCGAAGATAACAATAATCATACATGATACTACCATCTAGATATTATAAAAAACATATATGATACTATCATCTAGATATTATAAAAAGAATTATAACGAATAAGGTGATCTAACAAAGTTATTAAAACTTGATAAATTCCAGATAAAAATCCCAACAAAAAAATATAATAGAATTATATGTATGTAAAAATAAAAATAACTCATAACTCAAAAAATGAGGAATACATAGTAATAAAGAAATTATGTTCTAAGTGATAAAACATATCCCTTAAACATAAAAGAATATAAAATCATGTTATAATTATCTATCTTATGAGTTTTTGGTTTCATAAAGTAGTTTATATTGAAAACATATCATATTTCTTTTAATAATTAACCCTTAAATCTTAAAAGTTGCCATTGAAGGAATCATTTAATAAAATGATCATCATTTGTGTTTTATACAAAAATGAACACCAATTTCTAAGTATAGAGACATGGCAACACTCTTCATATCACTTTTTGTACGGTTCATATCTTAAAAAATAAGAAATAAGTCGAAATTCATAATGTTATTTTATCCATTTCTTTTAAAGTCCCTGCTAAGCATCTTCAAAAAAAAATTTAGTAGCAAACAAATATCATAATGAAAATTGGAAAGTTAGTTTGAGAGATATTTTAAAGCAATTTGTTTGAAAATAAAAAATTGACAAAAAATGACATATATTGAGGATATAGATATGTAGGATAATTTCACAATATAAATAAAAATTGGTGGTCATTTTGTTTGAACATTAAAAAATAGGGTAAATTACACCGGTGGTCCCTCGTGCACATGCCAGAAAGTGTGTTTAGTCCTTATTTCCAAAAATTTAACTCGGGCAGCCCCTTGTTGTTATTTTTCTTGCACGGTTAGTCCCTATAGACGTTAACCGTTAAATGATTCTGTTTAAGCTCCCCACGTGCCTTGCACGCAGGGGCATTTTCGTCTTTTCAGGGTTTGTGTCCATTCTTAATGTCGTTGCACCTTAAAATCTTATAAAACACTACAACCCTCTTTTCCTCTGATATCCTCTCCTTCGTCTCCTCCCTTCGTTCGATCGATTTCTTCCAAGTAGATAACAATGATCGATATAAAATGCAATTGTGGAGCCACTGCAGTGATTCACACATCTTATAGCAAAAGAAACCCTGTGAAACTCTACTATGCTTGTACAGTAAATGTAAGGTTAATGATTTTAATTTTGTTCTTCATCTTCTCTAATTTTGCCCTAATTCTTGATCTACTTTAATTGGTTCAGGGACCATTATGCAAGTTCATAGGATGGGTGAATGATTATGATCAGGAGTGTGATTGTATGGCGTTTAGGATGAAACTTGAAGAACAAAATCGCAAATCGAAGTTTTACCTAGTTATTAGCTGTTTTTTTTTTCGGTCCTTATATATAAAGTGTAGGTTTAGTAATGAAGTTGTTAGTATTTTGTATTGCTATTTGTATTATGAAAAAAAACCTTCAATTTCAGTTACAATATGTTGTGTAATCATAATGTGGGGTTCTCAGTTGGTGTTCAAATTTAATGAAAATGTGGTATTTGCAACATATGCAATATACCATTCAATACATGTAGCATCCAATATAACAATAAAAAGGGACAAAACTTAAAATATCCAAGATGACCATTTACCATTAACATAAAGGGATATCCAAAATAGCAACATAGTGTTATTGCATACAGATAGTTATCCTAGATAGCAACAAAGTATCAAAATGCAAAACATAACAACAAAGTAATAAGGCAATCAATGCCTAACAAAAACATACTTATCCTTCATGATCATGATACCAAACTACAAGTTCTCAAAGCATGGGGCTTTTTCCCTTCTTCCCAACTCCTTTTTTTACACCACCACTGCTACCTGCTGCACCTTGACCTATATTTGCTCCTACACTCTTGTTAACTCCTACATTGCAACCTTCTGCACCTTCTCCTGTTCCATTCTTAGTCTGTGATTGTCCCTTGCAGGTCCTTCCATTATGGCCCACATTTCCACATTTTGTGTATGTTACAGATTTCCATTTTGTGGACACTCCATCATCTTCTGTTGCAGATCTTCTTCTCTCTTTTTTTTTGTCTGCCAATAAGGACACGATACTTTGGTGGTATCAACTTGGTAGGACATGTGCTTTTTTCCACAAAAACCTCCCATTAGTAGGTTCAACTTTGAAGACATACATTTCTTTCCAAGTCTTGAGCCAATATGTTGGGTGAACCCATGTCTCAGATATTCCAACATTTTCATTGTTGAGCCTCATATCCCATATAGCTGCTATACTATGTTTGCAGGGTATGCCTGTCAGTTCCCACCTGTTACATGAACAAGTTTGTTGTTCCATATTAACCACACACTGATTAGTACCTTCACTTGTAACCTGGTACTTCCCATTTGTAACATCCCGTTTAAAATAGAATAATTAAATAATTAAATAATAACCTGGTACTTTCCATTTGTAACATCCCGTTTCAAAATACTATCGTCGTGAGCTGTTGCCTATCGTCGTGATAGCGGTTGTGCTGCCAATGGCCGCCTGCTGCCATTCTTTCGTCGCCAACGGCCACCGTGGAAGGTGGCTGTGTGCGTGTTTTTGCTATGTATTTAGGTGTGTGTGTGTGTACTGTTGTTGCATTGCATTAAGAATGTGTGTGGTTTGTGTAAACTGGAAACAAAAGTGAGCCACCACCACCACCGTGAGGTGGTGGCTAGCACCTCTGGCCACCGCCTGCCGCCACAGTGCGGCTGTGTGTATGTGTGTCATTTATGTGTGTGTGTGTTTATTTGAATTTTTGGAAGTTGATTGTAAAATTATAATCGACCGGAATAATAATAAAAAGCTTATAACCACCACCGTGAGGTGGTGGCTGCTGCCACCAGCCGCCGTGTTGGGTGGCTGTGTGCCTCGTTTGCGTTTTGACTCGTTTGGGGATACTTGGACAAAATGGGCCCAATGAAACCCTATTGGGCCCAATGAAACCCTAATGGGGGCCCAATGAAGCCCAATTGATCTGAAAGCCCAACCATTTGATTAATGGGCTAGTATTTGAGTTGGAGAACCCTAATGCCTTGAAACCCTAATTTTGGGATTTGATCGGGACCGCACGAGAATTAATTATTAAACCTAAAATAATAATTAATAATCATTGTCAAATTAACCTAAGGCCATATTGGACTTAAGGGATTAAGTCATTAATGGGTTAAGTAGGAAACACTTAACCCTAATCGTCATTTCATGTGGAAACCCTAATTTCACTTGGGTCTTGAGTTGGGCCTTTCTATTGGGCTTTGGTGATTGGACTATTAATGGACTTTCCAAGAATAAGTAAATGGACTAAATAATTGTATGGGTTTTAGGATAAGGCCCATGTGAGAGTCTTGGGCCCAATTTGGAAAATTAGGCCATAAATGGGCCATAATTAGGCCTTTCTGATTATGTGATATTGGGCCATGGGAATACCAATAGTTTGGACTAGAATAATTGAATGGTCCTTAAGGAAAGACCATGTAGAGGTTTGGGCCCAATTTACCAATACCAATAGTTTGGACTAGAATAATTGAATGGGCCTTAAGGAAATAAAATAATAATTAATAATCATTGGCAAATTAACCTAAGGCAATATTGGACTTAAGGGATTAAGTCATTAATGGGTTAAGTAAGAAACACTTAACCCTAATCGTCATTTCATGTGGAAACCCTAATTTCACTTGGGTCTTGAGTTGGGCCTTTCTATTGGGCTTTGGTGATTGGACTATTAATGGACTTTCCAAGAATAAGTAAATGGACTAAATAATTGTATGGGTTTTAGGATAAGGCCCATGTGAGAGTCTTGGGCCCAATTTGGAAAATTAGGCCATAGATGGGCCATAATTAGGCCTTTCTGATTATGTGATATTGGGCCATGGGAATACCAATAGTTTAGACTAGAATAATTGAATGGTCCTTAAGGAAAGACCATGTAGAGGTTTGGGCCCAATTTACCAATACCAATAGTTTGGACTAGAATAATTGAATGGGCCTTAAGGAAATACCATGTAGAGGTTTGGGCCCAATTTGGTAAATTGGGCCATATGTTGGGCTTTAGCCCATTACTTGACTTTTGGGTCTTTGGAGTGTGAGTTGGACCTTGGGCTTGGAACCCAATTATTAATTGGGTATTGTTTGATGTTGACAGTTCGAGAATCTGTCAACCAGCAGCTGGAGTTTTATCTGTGGGACTTCAGCAGTGTCAGGTGAGTTTTCCTCACTATACTCAAGGGTCTAAGGTACCAAGGTCGACCCTTTTGGATTGTTATCCTGATATGTTATGCTAGTATGATCCGTTATATCAATATCCTGGTTGATAGGATGGTATTATGCTATTACGATCTGTTAGATCAGTATCTTGGTAGATAGGATGATATTATGTTATTATGCTATTGTGATCTGTTAGATCAGTATCCTGGTAGATAGGATGTTATATGCTGTTATGATCCGTTAGATCAGTATCCTGGTAGATAGGATGTTATATGTTGCTATGATCCGTTAAATTAGTATCCTGGTAGATAGGATGTTACTATGTTGTTATGATATGTTAGATCGATTTGTCTGTCTATAGTCTGTTATGTGATTATTTGTTTATATGTGCACATGTTTGATTGGTGGTTGAAGCTTATCTGCTTTGTGCGAAAGCCAATAGACCTGGGCATTCCAACCTGTTGGTTGTGGGCCGTGAGTATTCCATCCCGAGGATGATTGGACTCATAGTATGTGGGCATTCCAACCTGTTGGTTGTGGGCCTGGGGTATTCCATCCTGAGGATGATTGGA